GTAAGCAGACGTTTTTCGTGCGCAAAGATACTAAAAATGGAAGCGGAAAATGTGCACTTTATAAATAGCTTGATACTTTCCTGGTGCCTATAAATAGACGTTTTATCCATGCGCTCGTTAAACATTCCAGGAATCCTGTCGTCTATTGTGCAACAGCTGCCTATGGCAGGGGTAAAAAGCCTTGGATGCATTGACCCTGGCCGCTACAACCTGGTCTATTTCGCGGCCTTTAAAATAAAGAAAAAACGACTAGTATGGCGCGGGTATACTCTAGACCGTACTTGCGGGTGTAAAGAATGAAAACGAATAAAATGAAGTGGTACGTTCAGTGGCCCTGGGCGAAGTGGACGACCGCAGCGGCGGCCGGCGACTCCGCGGCCGCCGCTGAGCCGCGCCGAGTGCCATTGAAAGTAAATAGAGAATAGAGGGCCGCTTCGATTGATCTGCCTCGCCTCGCTCATTGACAGCACCCCGGTCGGCGGCCCTCATTACAGATTCCAATGCTACGATCACGTCTTTTGTATCGTACTTAGATCAGTATTCATTTGCTGTAATTACTAAGTACCTAAACGATTTTATGACTATAATATCAAAAGTTAAATTAACGGCACGCTTTACGAATATCCGTGAGATAAGGTCTTCAAAGTTGGGTCAACATCGTCATGCGGCGACGGAACCGTTTGGAAGATTTCACATCGCTTCAAAGTATCACACACGAAATGCAGATTTCATCACAATATTTTCTCCAGACCGTTAAATACATGCCAAAAACTCCAATGAATGAATCTTTGTTACCGAGAATTCACCTTGCGGGTGGATTCCATAGTTTGAAATGTAAAAATTGCTTGCAATAACCTACATTTATATCATTAACTGGACATCAATCGCGTAACTCGTTTCTCGATAAAAAAGGAAATAAACTGAGGTAAAAATGAAGGACGTCGTCATAAAGATAAAAGCATTTGCGTGTACCTAGGAAATAGCTGTAAGCTAAATGTATTATCTTTTTACATTGAAAACGGATTTCGGCCTGTGCCTTGTCCTGTTTAATCCGTTCGACTCGATAAAACGTAAATGTCCTTTTAAGTGCAGTTGTGCGGGCGTCTACCTCTTGTTAACCTTGCATTGTGTCAGTAACACTGGCCGCGGATAACTGTACGGTGCCTGAATGAGAATAGCAAAAAGTAGGGCCGCGTGCCATCAGCTCTGCCAGACCTTCCTTCCATCACGACTACGCATTTGATACGTTAATTATCTGTATTATCATAACTAACGTCTTTTTAAATATCCACCTAGTGAGAAAAACGCATCGTTTTACTTTAAAATACAATATTATAAGACAGTAAAATATCAATTTAAAGAAATCGCAGCCTTTTTTTTTTGATAAAACATAGAACTACATTATAAAATTTCAGCAAACATTTTACACAGCTTTTAAGTTATCGTGAAATCATATGTAAGATTAGGAATTAGAAGTGTAATTTTCGGATAATCTTGTCGATAGAAATGTGATTAGGATTTTAACGTAATAAACTTTGTCTCCAATATAACAACGAATAATTCTCTTATCACAATATTTAACAAAACACTTATAAATCAATAGTTACACTACCATAAGGTTGATAAAATGTAAACATGTTACAAATAACTGTCAGAGTGATTTGATACTAATAATATCGCTGCAAGTTCCGTACAATGACTAAAGGGTATTATCTCCGTTTCTTCTAGAATGTTCTATTTTTAACCCGTGGCTAGTCTGTCAATGTCACAGTAATCAATTTATACAACTTAACTAGTGGTCGCCCGCGATTTCTTCAACGGTGAAATGTAAAAAGTAGCCTATAACATTTCCGCGTGTTAGCTTAGCTGTTCTCGTCAAATTCCCCCATAATCAGTCTATCCATGACAAATATGGCCTTTCGGACAGATAGACTAGAATTTTTTAAAAAAGTGGATTTTCGTTATCACAAATATTTTTTAATGTTACATTCAGACACTCCAATTTTATTACATGTATAGATTTTTCCTTGATGAACATCACATATATGGCAATAATGAAACACTCTTTGCATTAAAATTATATCCAGTGCCAAGTTTCAGGCCATTTTTAATAACGATAAAAAATTATATCCACTTGCATAAATATATGAAGATGTTTTAGCACGATGATCAAGCAGATCAGTTATTTAATACGATGTGTAAAGTCTTCATAACTTATAAAAGTTTTGGAAGTGAAAACGTGTGAGC